AGTGCTTCCTCATGTCCGAAGTCACCCTGTGGGATGAAGCTCCATTCAAAAATCTGTCAAAATACAATCACTTCGCTGCCATTCCCTAGATAGATGGTTCTTTTCTTGGATGGTCAAATGGCTGTGAGTCACGAGGGATGGTCAACTTGGATTTAACTCCAGGAATCTAAAACATGAATCAATCATATATATTCATATATTCAATGATATTCCCCAGAAGGTGATTTACGGCTTGGGACAACTAGAACCATCACCTGATCCACAAAACCCGGATGGTCAAGCGTCCGGGATGGTGCTCGGGGGACGTTGACGTCCGGGTCTCTTCTGCCGGTCGATGTCGGACCAACACGTCACCAAGACCCACCACGAAGCCATTCGGTGCCGGGCACGCGAGCGAAGCTTCGCCGAGTGGCAAAGAACAATGTGGGCACATCTCAGAAGATCTCCCACACCTCGGCAACTCGGCCGACTGGCCGCCAGTGATTTGAAGAAGATTCGCTTTGTAACAGACCTCATGTTTTGTCTTAAGTATACGTATACCGTATACTCTTCTTCTTATTGGTCGTTTTCCAGCTTTGCCGTCCGTGTCGTTTCGCTGCTGATGGGACAGGAAAACAAGGAACAATCCGCCTTCAGTCACCGCTGGGCCAAAGAAGGGTTGAAGAAGTGGGGGTGGCTGCGTCGTCGTCGCGATTTCACGGCCGGATTGTCGAGTCACGAAAAAGAAGCACAGGTGGGGCTGAGCCTCGTCGTGATTGTCTCCCTCAGATCATCGTGGTTTTATGTGGAGTGAACACCACCTCACCTGCTTTGGTATGAACATGATCATTCTTTTGGCCCACGTCACCAGGTTTCACCATGATTTCTCAGAGGTTTTCCCATTTGGCCAAGACTTTGGTCCCCCCCAACATGAAGCATTGGGAACGGAACAATAGGAATGGAAAGGACATCCTCTCACTCATGACATCCTTCACTGACCTCTTGTCATCATCCAAAATGTCTACTTTTGGAAGTCCATCCATGCACCACGTGAAATGGAGGACATTCCAGCACCCAGTCTGAATGGGCAGCGTGTTCAGCAATTGCAGGGAACTCGAAGTTCTTCCCTTTCTTCCTGCATGACCAGCATCACTCCTTCTCCACCCCATGCAGTTCCGAAGCTGTTTTGGATATGTTCCTGGGATGACACCCCTGCCACAGAAACGCTCAGCTGGACGTCGTTCCGAACCGCCGAATGTGCTCGGCACAGGGCCGAGACACTTGAAATCCATCGTCGCTTACTTCGCAGTGCAGGGCACTGCGTTTCCCTGTGACGGTGAAAGCGACGAAGACTCATGTGTTTTTTTTTTTGGAGGTGCCAGGGTTCTGATTGGGGTGACGGTCAGACCGTGACCTGTGGATGGAAAAACCGAAAACTCCTACCAGACTGGTTTTACAATTCATGTTTTACATCATTTTGCATCTGCAATTGGGTGGTTTGACTCCGTTGACAGGATGATGCCAGGTCTGAAAGGAGCTCTTGGAAGGGAGATGTTGGACGGATGTAATCAGTTCCCATGATCTTCCATCGTCCATTCATGATGATGTTATCGTGTTTTTTTGCTCCCATACACTCCCAACATCGCAATAAACGCAGCATGCGGTTAATTCTGTGAGACCCCTGCTGCAAAAAATTGTCGATGTTAATGTTGAGGTCAGTGGCTATGACGGAGCTCGTTGGAAAGAAGTGCTCGGCGTATGTGTGATAGCCATGCGTCCTGCAACACCTTTCAGTCATGCTTTGATAAATTGTTTGCATCAGATCTTGGATAATAAATCAACGTTTGAAGTTGCGGACGCACCCAACTAAATATCTTTATCCCATCGATTGGGCTGCGATTATGTCGCATCCGTTCCAAAACTCGCTCCGTGACTATCTTTCCAAAGAATTATAAAGTTCACATTACCAAAGTAGACGAAGATTGACAACCTTGGTCGGTCGATAACATCTTAGTCTTCGACGAAATAAACAACGGTTACAAAGTACCACAGCCAAGACGTTTTATCTTCAACAACGCAGCCTATCTGCCCAATAATAATGCGCTCGGCTGGGATGAGATATACGATTCGCGCAAGATGCTTTGTCATGTGCTATTCAAGGATTCCACAACCCTCAACCATTACACGCTACATAAACACACACTACTGTACATGCCCTCGGCTTCGTGTGTCAAATTGGATCACCGACCAGACCGGCGCATCGCCATGGAGCGGACTTGTGCTTCAGTGGACGTATCACCGGCGTACTACACGTCCAAAACCCAGCTGGTGGCTGCTTGCAACCCCAGATCAATGCACTCGAACATGCAAAGGCTAACGCTGATGGTGCGAATGTATGGATCTTTGAAGATGATGCACGTCGTCAACCTTTGTCTGCCCATTAGAATTAGCTTTAGCGGACACCGCGGTTCAACCTGCTTGGGACGTCTTGATGCTCACTCAGTAGCAGCGCGCGCTACGTCGTTTCTGTGCGGGGAGAGTATGTGGATGTACTACTGCAAACGTTGAAGCAAGCAGCCGCCACAACAAAAAACATTGGAATGCTCAGGACCGCTACCACTTTCATCGGACACCATCTCGACATTAGTTAAGACATTGACCACTTTGCTGGAGCAGGGACGCTGGAGATTTTCCGTGCATGTGATGCCAAAGGCTCATATGCAATGGAGCCACCATTGCTCTGTAACGGCATCATATGATGCATCGCGGCGTCTCTGAACCTGTGAAAGGGGCAGAACATCGCACTGTTTGGAAATTGATCCAGAAGTCAGAAAAAGGACAGCAGCTTCTATTCGGCGTTTGTCATGCCATTGCATTGCGCAAGTTGCCTTGCAGGTTTGGTTTTGCCCAAAGTATTGATATGCGGGCTTCCAAACACTATGACCGTGGGCTCCTCGCTCTGGATCGGTGCTTTGTCACAAGTTCTGGATCGGTAGCGTCCACCCTGTTGATCACTTGCAATTCTTCTATGTGCCTACTTCATCCTGGTCGTCAAAAGCTTCTGCAAGTGCCCAGGCTCTCCAGATGAAGGAAAACAGAAATCTGTCACATAGACGCGTGTGTTTTCCAACACAGCTAGTGGAGGCGACAAAGAAGTTGTCTTGAGTATGTCGACGTCGATGCACGACAAAGAAGTCGTCTTGAGTATGTCGACGTCGATGCACAAAAGGGCTTTGGACTGTTCACAATAGCAACATATAGCAACTGTCGCATGTCCATTCTGGCTGTACACGTGGTGGAGACAGGTTGCTGGTGCTGGTGCCGACTGGGTCCGCTTTGGTCCACAGAGCGCTTTGTTGCAAAATGATGCAGTTCTGGCAGCAGCAGCCGCTTTGCCGTGCTGCCGCATACACTGTCCTACACTGCCTACCTACATACCTTTCTCCCACGAGGGTACTGAATCATCGTTGGTGCTGCCGCGCTGCATCGGGTCACCCTCTGATGAACGGAACCGAAGTCCGTTGAGTCTCGTCTCGCACGGAATCGGGTCGGCCTCCGTCGGAGGCTACGCGCGCAGCACGGACCAAGGTCGTCGGTGACATCCGTGACATGGACAGATGGCGCCCTGGTAGTTCTCTTGTTGCGCTTCAATAATAACTATAGTTTGCCACCAAGGTAACGAAATGTCTCTCTGGCGTTCGCCGCTCAGACCTTGCCAACTTGCTTGGGGCTGGCCTAACTAACTACCACTAGAGAGAAATAAGAAGCTAGCACTATTACTACTACCACAAAACATCATCATCCGCTTGTCAGGAGGATCAGATCTAATCTTCTTTCGGGTCAATTTAGCAGGGTGAAAGGAGGTTTTGACTCACCAACGCAACGCCGTAGTGGTCGGAGACCCTTTTCAATCTTTTTCAACAAAAAAACAACCAAGGCAGCGTGTTCACATGCCATCAACCAATCATCACCTGTTCGTTCTGACCCACAAGACCTCTGAGCCACCAGACCTGTCATCCCTCCTCAAGGCCTTCTCCTGCAGCGCAAGCGGGCGCTCGTGGCACGTGCACGCGCTCTGAATGTGAAAGAGATCGTTATTTCCATGTCCCAAATGGCTTCCACCTTCTGTCGATTCAAACAGGAGAGCAAGCCTGTTTGAAGCCCATTTGGACCGATCGATATCTACTTTTCCTTATAGTGAAGTAAAGATAAGTAAAGGACACTCCCGAACTCCGGTTCACGTTGGTCAGACCATTCTTCTAAGGAGCCGGGGACTCCCGAAATCAGTGGCCCAACATCTCTCAAAAACGACCCTTTTCCCAGCCATCGACGAGGTCCATTCTTGAATTGGCCAGGAAGGATTGGCCATCCAGGAAGCCTTCAAAGAATTAAACAGTATTAGAAGATATTAGAAGGGGTTCCCCAGTTCCGGAAAATAACGGATAACCATGGATAACTTTAAGCCTTAATATATAAGCAAGCCAGGCCATCGTTTTTGTCCATGTTTTTCGTTTGATACCTGCCATATTTCTTGGGAAGAATGGACGAGAATGGTCACCTTGGCCCATTCCAAGGCGTTTCTGGGGTATGGGCCAAGCACAAAATCAAGTGAAAGCAATAAGACACAGGATTGCTCGCAAATGGTGTGGGGAACTCCCTGATATACTAAAGCTCCGAAGTGGTTCCCTTCAAACGACCAGATGTCACCAAATATACACAATATAGTGTCAAAGGTATTTTAACAAAGAAACAGCACTCCCAATAGTCTCTCCAGTCTTCTATCAACTTCACACCACCAGCTACTTGGATTAGCTTCACTGAGGAACATGGAAACAAACACAAACTCTTCCCCAGGAAGGACAACAAGAGGATAGAAGAGGCCTCCAAATCAAAACCTAACCTGGCCCCTAAGGGGGGCCCAATTATAGCTCCTTAGAGGTTATAGGGATGTCCATTAACCACCCCAAAGCGGGGAGCCCTGGTCCATGTCACGTTCGCCCAGCTCGACGGGCCGCCGTCCTTCATGAGCCCGCCGACCCCGAGCGGGCGCGCGCACCCAGCTGCTTGGACCTGCCAGTTTCCATCGGCTGGAAAAAAAGCTACTAGTAGCAAGTGCATCGCTTCTAGTAACAAGTGCCTCGCTACTAGTAACAAGTGCCTTACTAGTAGTAACAAGAAGCTACTAGTAACGAGTGCCTCGCTACTAGTAACAAGTGCCTTACTATAGTAGTAACAAGAAGCTACTAGGGTTCGGAGATCGGAGGAGCCAAGCACCGCGAGTCTGACCGGAGCGACGACGAGCCTATTCGTAGCTTCTTAGTGACGACCGCAGCCTAGCAGCGATGGCCTCCACCTATTTTTCATAGCGTCCTTGCTACTACGGTATTGTGGGATGTGGCTTAATTCAGTTGGGAGAAAAAAACAAAAAAAACATCTTTCCAGAATGGGAATTGGACCCATGTTACGTAACATATCGAGAACATGACCATCACCCGATGTGGAAAACCTAAAACATTGCTTTGTCATGCCTTGTGTTATGCCTTAAGATAGGTTCAGCATATACTGTAGTGTCGTGCATAAGCACATGTGTACTGCAAAACTTCGTCCGCTACCCGTTTTTTTTTTGGATGGTCCTAATAAGGCCTAGTGTTGTAGGGATGGTTTGGACACCCTTGATGGGGAATTGGATTCCATATACAGCTGATGAGGCAAAACAAGTTAAATTCAGTCTTGCCCAAAGCAGTTCAGCTCCCTCAAAGAGCTGCTTCCTTGTAAAAAAGATATCTCCATATGTCTCCATTTCATGAAAGTAGCTCATTGATTCATCCAGGAATGTGCTACAGTAGAACCCCATTTCACACCTCCGAACTTGGAGAGTGTTTCGACAGGCTCTGGCCACGACTCACGACTCCCGCACCGGGAGACCAAACGCCGGACCTACCTGGGAGGTCAAGATAGATCGGTCTGTATGTGTATGTGACATAGGGAGACCGACATCGAACGGTGAACACCGAGTCCCCTTGGGTTCGGGTCCGAACATGGACCACCATCCTCCACCCGTCAGAGGACCTCCCTGGAAGGACACACCCACATGGTGCAGGACACAAGCTTGTGACCCATCCTCATCCCTCACATCATTTCACCATGATTGGTCTCCCCACAGACCGTATTTCACCCGTGCAGGGCTGTTCTTCTCGTCGTCCTGCGAGCTGAAGATCTCATCGACATGGCTGTGAATCTTCTGTTGTCAAGGTGACGCGACATGGCGGGTATCGGTATAGATAATCTTGCACCTGCTCCAAGCATTTGCCATGGAGGTCGACATGCGAAACCAGGTCGCCCCATGGTCACAGCTATAGTCAATACCTGATATATATATATATATGCCTGTCCTTGATGGTTAGGTTGCAGGCCTTTCCCCCAAATAGCGACAGTGATCATCTTTGACCAACTAAGACACACCGTAGCAACAACTCCTTTTCCCTGAGATTCCGAGCTTATATCCCTGATTCCATGGTTCAAATCCTGAACAACCAATTGTTTTACTGAGGATTTGGAGCTCCCAAACCAGGTCGACCGACCGTCCCAGTCTCTTGGAAGACACCAAAAACAGCGCAGGTGTCGGCGGTGTCGGCGGTGTGGGTTTGGGCCATCCAAGGATCATGCTCTTTCTGACCTTGATGATGTACTGTAGAGAAAAACACACCCTGGACCTTCAAGGGGTGTCCAATCGAGGTCCCTTAGTAGTGTAGGGGCTTCCATTGGTGACCCCTTTGAAGGTGCTGGACTGTAGGATCAAAACGTAGCACACTGTAGAACAAACACATTATCTTGACATATCTTGATGATGTACTGTCCGTAGGAAAAGACCCGTAGAACACTGTGGATCACTGTGGAGTAAACACATTATCTATTGATATATCTTGATGATGTACTCTAGGAAAAACCGTAGAACAAAACACATTATATATCTGAATCTATTGATATATCTTGATGATGTACTGTAGGGAAAAATGGAAGGCTGTGGAAAAAAAACACGTTATCTTGATGATGTAGAAAGAGCACACCGTAGACCATTGTAGAATTAGAACAAGCACTTTGTCCTGACATGTTGTGGGGGGGTATTTCACAACAAACTACAGTTTAGAATGTACATGGATGTACTGTAGACATGCAGTTGATTGAACCAGATTGAATAGGAAAAGGAAATGAGGACTGGAGATGTCAAACCATTCCGGAGACGGGAGGTTGATTCATCAACAGATTCTACAACTTCCGTTTTGACTGAAGTCCCCCCACCTGGGAGTCAAAACCCACGGCTGCCAAAGGCTATTGGGGGTAATAAACCAATCGTATCAGGAGTCTATACGGGCGTAGTAGGCAGCAGGCATGAGTAGGCAAACCTCCCAGTTCCAACATGTTTTTCAACCCCGTACAAACAAAGAAACATCGACTAGTGTTCCCGAACACTCACCTAGATTCGGGCGACGGCCCCCTGGGTCCGATGGTTTTCCTCTACCAACCAGTGGTTTTCAGGGTCCATGTTAGTAGTCTTCCAGGGTGTAATGTCCCCCATGAAAGCCGGGCTTATAGCCCAGTTAAAGCCTCCTGCTCCAGCTGCCCTTCTTCCCCAGCTACTTCGGAACGCCCGACTCTGCCGACCTCCAGCGCCCCGCTCGCTCGCGTGTGCTTGACCGATCTCCTCGGAATCTCCCACTTCCGTGCTGGTGTCGGAGCCTCAGAAGCATTCAGAAGCTCCGAGTCGAATGGCCAAAGGGCAGGCAAAGGCAATGGCACCAATGGAGGCTGCTCCTGAAACCTGGTGAACGGGTGAACCAAAAGGATCAGAGCAGCAAAGGCAATGGCACCCAATGGCCCCAGCTCCTGGAACCTTGTGAACGGGTGAACCAAAAGGATCCTAAAAGAGACCCGGAGCAGTTGGCTGGTGTTTCTGCCCCCTGCATTTGGTCCAAAGGTTTCTGTAACTCAATACACAACATATCTCCTACAAGTCAAAGGGCCAAGTTTAACCTGGTCCGACCGACCTCATTTAGTACTGGTTTTGCATGACCGGACCCAGTCAAATGAGGTCCAACTGACCTGTAGGGATCCCTCATCTTTAGAGCTCGCTTCCCTGCTCCCCACAGCTCCTTCCTTGCTGCCGCTTCTTCACTTGACCACTCGCTTCCACCGTCGTCCGTCACTCTCGTGGATGTCTCATCAAAACAGCCGCTGATCTTCCCAAACGTCCCAAACAGCGCTTTCCAAGGAGCCAAATGCCAGCTTCCCAGGGGCCCTTGTAGCAGCTTCTTCACTCACCTGAAAAGACACAGCTAGGAGCACAGCAGCAAGCTTGCAAAACCCACCGCTGCAGGGCCGCACGTGCACGGCGAGGGGGCCTAAACCGGTAGAGGGGAGAAGGGAGCATAATTAGGTCGTTTAGGTTCCAATGGACAGGGTGGTTGAATTGGTTCGAATGATTGGGCATCCTACCCTCCGACCGCAGAAAGACCCGGTGGTGTTCATCCCTTTCCTCTTACTCATGGCATTGTGGGGCTCTATGTGAATTCATCTGTAATAGCCGCAGAGCATCCTGGCAAATGCTCCCTCGAGCTCGACGTTCCAATTTTGAGCTGCTGTGTGTTTCGCATGTGTTTGCAACCAAGGCCATGTTCAGTTCACATGTTCACCGTGGCCTTCCAAATGCGCTTCCAGGGGTCTTGGTCTTCGCCTTTACTTGGATTTGGCCCACGAAGGCCACCCGGGGTAACTACTGGCTGTAGTGACCTGTTCTTAGTCCTTAGCAAAAGAGAAACACTTCCTATATAGGATTCCTAATCGAACTGTCAAACCTCTCCACGATTGAAATGCTCTCCTATGCTCTCCCTATATGGTTCTTATTCCAAGTTTGGAAGGAACAATGAACCAGCGGAAACAGACAGTCTACCCATTGCTTGGAAGCCTCCCTATTAAAATTACGAAACTCATTTCGATCCCATTTGCCTTGGTCGAGCGCCGGAGACCCCCCCAGCACCCCGGTCCCCGCACCAGCTCCCCCAGTCGACGAAGGCCGGACGCGGGCGCCGGGGGCCTTAGGAAGACGACCCATTGGCACAAAGGCTGGCGCCTCGCGGTCGCGGCGCGTCCGCGCCGTCGCGAGCCTCTTGGGGCCGAGACGTGGAGAGACTAGTCGACATGTTCCAAGAAGCAAGAATCGGTGAAGGCTAAGAACTATCTAGCGCGACGAGCTTCATGTCCTTTAGTGGCACAACTTTTTGTTTGGCAGTGCAGACACTAATTGGGCTCAAGGCATGGTCTGTAATGGCAGGAAACAAGCCGAACGTAATTAATTATAAGAGGAAGTTGTCAACACATTTTACCAAATATAGGTGGAACATGATGGAATCGATGCCAAACTACCCCAACACCCACAACAACCCTGGTCTATTGTTTTCGGGCTCAAAACCCGATCGACTTCCCTCAAAGGCTCAAAACCGGAAAGCTGAGGACGATGGACACATCTCGACATGTGACTGCTGGGAAACTCCATATCCCAAACACTCCATGTATGCCTTACTTATATGCCTATATTGACCCCCCAAACCACCCCAACTGATCGGCAGTCCTATGGCATACATGGAGTGTCTGGGTATGGAAACGGTCTTTGTTTGGGAGAACATCTCAGCGCTCCATTGCTCCCAACAGCAGACCAGAGCGGAACAGCCTCCGCCTCCCAGCGTCCCCGCGTCCCCGCCGAAGAACGGCTCCTGCCTCCGCAGAGAAGTCGTAGTGCGGAACCTGTGCTTGGATGAATTCGTGCGCTAACCGGGCAAGCAGCAAACCTAGCTGAAGATCATAGAAAAGCAACTCATATCAATTGATGGTCTCCCCCAAAGAATTCCGTCTCATTAGTATTTGGCTCTTCACAAATCGAATGCATCCTGCTGGGTTGTCTCTCCACCCAGAAAAAACATATATCCCTTAATCCGTTGTCCTTTTTTTGATAATATGTTCGTTCTACTTTGGGAAACCCCGCGAAAAGTGGAACTTGCCAGCCAAAGGGGTGGAAACTCTGTATGTTTGGAGTGGAGTTTGGGGTATTATTTGATCACTTGAAGTGATACATCATGTTCTGTATGAATTCTATGCGTCAACACAATGTATCTTTTCGCAAGGAGATCTCTGCATCCATTTTTGGAGCAAAAAATGTCGAACAAAAACACGTGTCAAGCAGTCGCAAGACGGGGTGCTATCCATGGAGGGTAGGGGTGCCCAGAACATCCACTCACTGGATGGGACGAGCCACACCACCCCGAGCTACATGACTGCTGGTTCAGTGTTTAACCCTGGTGTCCACCTGCCGCGGCTTCCAGAAGCCGAAAGCCGCGACTTGATCGTCGCCCGTTAACAGGTTGGACCTCGATGACCTGAAGAACTTCGGACTGTGGCATTGACATTTGATATTAATAGCCTGAATCCCAAACCACCATGGCTTTACCGAACAATTGGTTCTACTGGGTTTCAAACCTGCATTTGTCTAATATTAATAGTCTTGGTCAAAGAACCATTGTTTTGCTAACTACTCTAAATTTAGTCTTGGAAGGCTAGGATTGCCCTAATGCCTATAAGCAAATGAACCAAGTTCTTTACCGAACCACCCACACAAATCTTTTCGGATGGACCACCAAAACGAACCCCCTTCCCAAACTGGGAGAAAGACCGCGAAGGCCGCAATCCCCCACGTGGTCTAACGCGACGGTCGCGCGCGATCCCCCGCGCGAAGCCCGCCACGAAGGGATTGAAGGCCGGAGCTTCCGCGGAAAGGCCCTCGGAACCGACGAAGCACGGCCGAACATGACCCGGTCGGAAGATGGTGGGAGGCGGTGAAAGCACGGCCGGGTGAAGGCTTTGTTTCTTTTTTGAGATTTGGATGGGTCCTAAATGGACGTACTGGCAATTTCTGGCGCGCCGTTGGTTTAAGGATTCGGCTCCCGACAACCATTTGTTTTACTGAGGGTTTTGCAAAGGCAGCTTGGACCGGTCTGGTCACCTAATGGCTTGCTCGAAGGCTGCCTATTTAGATTCAATTCAGCAAGTCTTGGCAAATAACTTTGGCATAAGCCTCCTACGCTCGCTGCGAACTGCTGTGTTTACGGGCAGGGAAACGTTGGACAAGCCCCGTTCGACGGGGCCACACAGGACCCTCCTTGGGTACACCCTGGGCTGGCGTGAAGCCAGACACACTCAAGATGATCGACGCGTGCTGGGAGATGGCATGTGATTGTGTTTGTGGATCCATGCTTGATCATATGTGTCGCGAGAGGAAAGTTGTATGGGTGAACTGGTCCATGGCGCCGTGTGTGTGCCAATAGCAGAGGGAAAGTTCTACTGAAATGGAAATATGGTGCTGCAGTTGCTTGAGTTTGGCTCTTGGGCTATGCTCCCGGCTGCTTTTTCCAACAGCTGAAGAGGCTCTGAAAGGTCACCCGAAAGTCTTGCAGGTTCCAGATGCTCACATCATGATCACATCTAAAACAATTATGTTTGTCAATGGTACGTACGTTTTCAGGAGAGTATCAATGTTCGGATTCACCCGCAAAAATGCAACGCACTTGAGAATAGATCTCCATGGAGCAAGAATTCAGGGTGGATCTCGGTGCTTGGTGCGCATTACCTTTACGGCAGATTAGACCTTGACTTGGTGAACGGAATGGCGAGAAGTCCAAAGATTCGTACTGTTGAGCATGGGTGAGACGTGAATGTAACGGCTTAAAGACAGGTACGTCAGTGAGCGTCCTCACTGATATCAGTGTTCAATGCAAGCCTCTTCCCTGGGCTGGTACTTGCATGAACAATCAGCCCCCGGCGGTTGTCGGTGCAGGATTAGCTGGTTTGCCTGGAGACAGGAGGTGACACACAATGTGCCGAATCGGCGCTGCTAGAAGCGTGCTTTTTTACTTTACTTCGAGTGATATTGACCATGACACTCATACATTTTATTGTAAAAATGTCATGGTGAGGATATTATGGTTCAGAACCATGTTCGCTGCACTTTTTTGCGCCACAATATAATCACTAACGGGCCGGCCATGGAGGTCGCCTCATCTTGTCTGACCTGGCCCAGCGACAGAAAACATCTCAAAGAGGCCCAGCTGATTCAAAACACAGAGTTGGTAAACATGGCAGCGCTCCCCCTGGCAGCGGTTCAGATATAAACATGGCAGGGTGCCACCTGAAACAGCAATATCCAAAACATGGCAGGAACTGCATGCGTAAATTCCTCTTGGAATTTTCCTGCCATGATCAAAACATCTCCATCTTCCTGATACAACATCTTCGCAGCACCAGGGCCGCCTTTCTGCGACAGCACTTGCAGAATCACCGTGACCAAAGGAGAAGCTTGTGATGGGTGGTATTGCGGCGGTGGGCTCGCCGGTGGCGGGCCGGGCACCACCGGCACCGGGACGGGCGCCATGGCCTTGGGGATCTCCGTGGCAATATGTCGAAGACAAATCTGCATGTGCTGAAATGCCATGATCCTGATTGTGATCATTTTGTTCCACAGTGCCTGCCACGTCTTGTTAAACCAAACAGGAACAGCAGACTGGTTTCCAAAGGCCCTGAAATTGGACCGCGCAATTTCGTCAAACTGTTTTTGAAATTCGCCACCACTAACCCACAAAGACGAACTGGTGGGAATCACAGACTGATGCGCATCAGCCCCAAAAATTGTTCTGCACGTGCAAGCATCTTTTGTGATTTGACAGCTGTATAGTAGTGCACATGCTTGCCAGCTTTACTCAGCATCTGCTGCGACTTGGTCGGGTTCATGTGATTGTTACGTCGGGAGATTTCATACTCTTTGATCTCCTCGAACTGTGCAACAATCAGATTGCGAATGCAACTAAAGGGACGTGGTTCTTTGCACGCCCCCTTCGCAAACAACAAAAAGCTTTCATCACTCTGAAATGGTAGCCGTCGGCTGTAATTTTCAATATTCACATCCCGACCAAACAGTAACTGCGCAAATTTCACTGTGTCCTCCCAGCTGGTGACTCCTTGTGGCCATGAATGTTTCACCATGGCCGCAGAACTGAAGCTCCAAATGCGAATTAACTAATTAGCAACAACATACAGTACTTCAATGGATATGACCATAACAACAAACATGATGACTTTATGGTTTCTGCATGTTCTGGTTCTACATCTTCGTTTCTCCACAAACACTGTCTCTGCTTCCTTTCTTCACAAACACACCAGTTCTTGAACCGAAACAATAGCACAACATGTTGGCTTCTGCGTCAGTAAGCACTCAATCTCCATGATTGCCGGATCCAAGCCGTGTGCGCTTGAAAGTCAACAGTGCCCAGCCTCTGCCAGCAAGCACAAGCACAACGGACTGCCCAACTGATGTAAGCCAAAATGCAACATGCTGTCACGAACACAGCAACTTCAAACATTAATATACAAAGGATCAAATCGAATTCAGCAAAGCACCAACAAATTATCTTGCTTCAAGAAATCCCCGTGTTTCACCTGGCATTCTATCTGGCATATCTTCTTGCATTCTATCTGGCAACCTATCTAGCATACTATCTGCCATTCAATCTGCCATTCTATCTGGCAATCTATCTGACATACTATCTGGCATTTTGTCTGGCATACTATCTGTCATTCTATCTGGCATATCTTCTGGCATTCTATCTGGCATTTTATCTGGCATTCTATCTGGCATATTTTCTGGCATTCTATCTGGCAATGTATCCAGCAATCTATCTGACACACTATTTGGCATACTATCTGGCATATCTTCTTGCAGCTTCTATCTGGCAAACTATCTGGTTGAGGTCCAGCGGCGCACACTGCGATCGGATCCTTGCGGTTGAGGTCCAGGGGTGCACACTGCGATCGGATCCTTGCAGTTGAGGTCCAGGGATGCACACTGCGATCGGATCCTTGCGGTTGAGGTCCAGGGGTGCACACTGCGAGGGGTGCACACTGCGATCCGGAGCTGGCCAGACAAAATATGCAAAATGACTGCATTGTGTGCCGTCAGCTTCTGAAGCCAGGCTTGGCGGATGTACCGGATGATGTCAATGCGGTGAACACGCTAGCAAACATCGACATCCATGTTGACCTTCATCCCCGCAAATACACATCAACTGTACATCAGTCCTTGCCACAAGACCATTTTGTCCCGCGCAACTTCTGGATGTCCTTGCCCCATGTTCCCCGCTACCTTTGACATCCATGTTGACCTTCATCCCTCAAAAGACTCAGCTTCGCTGAGCTGTAGCCATCTTTCCACCCCCAGCAACCGCTGGCCATGGCGGAGCCATAGCGGAAAGAGTTGCCTCTTGCTGTAAGCAAGAAGGCGGGGCGTCAGATGTGGTTTGTCTCGGCGGTATTCGGTGTCATACCGGGAGTACGCCGCCCGGTGCGTGCTGCTGTTGCATTTTGGTGAGTCTGATGCCGCTGCAGGTCTCTCAATGGGTTTCTTCGGGCCTCGTGGTTTGCCCAACGGCCAGCCTCTCGTAGCTCGCTGGAGGGGAGGTCGTGGCTCACTCCTAGAGAGTATTGCCACCACCCCCTCCTCTAAAGATAGAGGATCAAGGTTCTTCTCGTCAATGTATTTGTATGTCATGTCGAGGGATCTATGGCCTGCTATCTTCAATAAGAGCTGAGGCGACATGTTGCGATGCACCAGGTCGTGTCTGACAAGGTGCGTTATCCGTGACCTCCTGAAGGAGTGGCCGCTAATTCTTTCGGCGTAGCACCTTCCCTCATCAGACTGTGCCAGCACATTCTTCATTGCCTTGACGGCGTTTTCCGTCAGCGACCAATTGGGCTTCCACGGGCCATCCGTTTCCAGAATTCCGTGGTGCTGTTTTTGGTCCCGCATTTCCTTCAGCTTAGTGTCGTTCATAATCACTGGGAAGTTCCACTGTGATGTCCACCCGCTGACAACTTTCTATCTTCTTGGTGGTATCGTCCCGAATCTGCCTAGTCTGATACCTCCTCATCGCCATGTACGTCTTACTCTCGGGGTCTTCCTCACGAGAGAAGTCGCAATGCGACCCAGGCGGACGTCGCCAGCTGCCAGTAATAGAATGATGTCAGCCATTTCCTCTATGTATATATATTCACAAGGCCCTGCTAGAAAATGGTGGCTCTACATCTGCTTGTCTTTGGGAAGACCCTGGCTGCTCCGTGAAACGCTGTTCACAAAAAAGGCGCAAGGCAACCCTAAGGCCATAGCAAAGTAAATCCCACACAGTGACACAAGTCAAAAAGAAACACGATACTTCACTTCAAGTTGGATCCAGTCCACACTGTTTACATTGGTTCGGGTCATGTATCCTCAGGGGAAAAGACATACAATCCATATATGATCAAAAAATATATATGTAAACAATATACGAGATTGCATGTCCAAAGCACCCAAATTGCAAATACAGTAACCCTACTGCTCATATTTGACTGCATTGGTTTAAAATTATGTTTAAAAGAAACATCGCTCTGTGGAAGGTTGAGACCCCTTTGGGACCTACATGGACCCTCAAACTGACCCCTCAAACCACCCAAATGTATAGATAAACATGCGCCTCCTTGGGTCGGGAAAAAGAAGCAAAGGTTGACCATGTTTGATACGATGTGAAAAATGTACAGGCAAGGTTCTCGTACATTGGGGTACCTCCACCCTCTCGTACATTCGCTTTATTGGGGCCTCTATACCAATAGAGGTTGGACATCCGCGGATTCGGGGTTCACCACTCCAGGTTCCGAGATCACCTTCCGTTCACTCCACCATTCACGGAAGGAAGCAAGGAGGAAGGAAGGAAGGAAGGAAGGGAAGGGAAGGGAAGGGAAGGGAAGGGAAGGGAAGGGAAGGG